GTCTCCCCCAGCAGCCGCGCTGACGAGCTCCTCACTGCGAAAGACGGCGGGTGAGAAACGCGGGCGCCCGCGGGGCTGCCCCCGCACGGACGAGGCTGCGCGGGCGCAACGGCAGCACCGGCGCTTGTCCGGCGCTCTTCACCCCAAACGCCGCCAGCGCGGAGCAGCGGGGCTCGCCTCGCCCAGGGAAGCCCGGGCAGCGCGGGCAACCCGGGGTTACTCCACCAGAGCGGATCCCCCGCAGGCAGACCTGAAGGGGTCGGCTGGAGCTCTGCCCTGGAGCAAACCCTGCTCCGGGCGCCGGCTGGACGGGCAGGAGGTGCCGGTCCCTCCCCGGGGCAGAGGGACGACGCGGAGGTTGCCCACAGACCGTGGGCCGAGCTCCTCCCGACTCAGCTGCCCGCGGCCGCCCTGCTCCCCAGATGCTTCGGCCAAGGAACGTTTGCGCAGGACCTACCCGACTTGGTCTGCTTCATGTCCACAACCTTGGCGTTGGCGCTCATCTGGTAGAGGGTTTCCAGGAGCTGGCTGGTCTTGCGATAGAGCGTCTGCGTGGCCAGACCTTCTCCCTGCTTACTCTTGGGGAGGGAGACCTTGGCTACCTGCAGAGGCGCCAGGCTGGCCAGCTCCATCTTCATCTGGGCGCCCTGCGACCGATGGGGAGAAGGTCGTTAGGGGCAGGGTGTTTGCTCGGGAGGAGCTGAGCAGAGAAAACGCGGTGTAAAGGCAGCAAAAAGGAGGGCCCGAAGGAAAACCAAAAAGGCATAAAACTCTAGCCAAAACCACCCGGGCGGCCTGCCAAGGGTGGGAGCGCGGGTGCCCGCGGCCAGCAGCGATGGCCCAAGCGCACCGGACGCCGGAGGGAAGCCCTGGGACGCGCAGCTGAGCACGGCTCAGGCCCCGGGAGGGGGAACCAGGCCGGCACCCCCGGCCTTACAGAACCGTCGCTCAACGGTGGCCGCGTACGTGACTCCTTCGATTTAAGAGCTATCATTAGCAGCTTCGCAGTTGTGCATAATAATCTGCGTAATTATGTCTCTGAATTAATATTAGTGGGATATTATTCAGATAATTACATTATTTGCTGCTTTGCCAATTTCCTCATAGTGCGTTCATTAATCAATAAATGCCTCAATCAGCCGGTGTCAGCGGCATCTGGAGTCCCCGGTCTGAGGGGGGACCGAGGCCGGGCAGCGACGCCACCGGCACCCCGGCTCTGCCGGCCGCTCCGGCTCCCAGCCGCTGACCCTGCGCTCGGACCAGGGGCTCGGCCCCTTCCCCCGGAGCCAAAGCCCCTTCCCCAACAGAGCCAAAGCTCGTCACCAGCGGAGAGCTTGCTGCGAGCCCCGCAGCAGAGCTGTGCTCCTGACCACCACCAGACATGGCGGACTAAGCGCCCTTCCTCCGGCTCATCCCACGCGGACCGCATCCCACGCGGACCTCCCGCCCTGGTCCTTCCTGGCCTCCTGGGGCACGACTTTGGCCGAGACCATCAGCGGAAGGCGGGCAGCGACCCAGCGCAAGCCCCCAGCCCAGAGCCGGCCGCCGGAGGAGGCGGACACCCCCGAGCCGTGCCGCAGCGCCGCAGGACGGCCCTTCCCTCGGGCTGCCGCGCTCCCGGGGCAGAGCCCGAGCCTCCCACCGCAGGAATGGGAACGGCGCAGCCGTGCCCCGGCCGGGCTCCTTGCAGAGCCCCTCTCTGTAAAGCAGAGTCCAACACGCCTCTCACCGTTCCCGTTTCCTTCCCCGAGGAAACCCACCGCGTGGAGGGCAGAGCTGCTCGGCGGCGTTGGAGGGAGCACACCACCGCCCGCAGCGCCGGCGCAGCCGTGGCACCGCGCTCCCCCTGGCCACCCCACGCCTTGCCCTCCCTCTTCTCCCGCTCGACCTCCCGGCACGCCGGAGCCCCGGTGCCCGGCACGCCGGGACCCCCTCAGCGCTGCGGGCGCCCGGGGACCCGCCGCGGGGAGAGGCAGCTCCCTGCGCCTCACCTTGAGCCGGTTGTTCTCGTTCTTGAGGTGCTTGACGGAATGCCGCAGGGCGTCGATTTGCTGGAGAAGAAGGGGCGAGTCCTTCACCTGGACGGGTCCTGAGCCGCCTCCCGTCACCTGGCCGGCACCGACACCTGCGGACGGGGCACGAACGGCAGTGGCATCAGCAACTGTCGCCTGTGAGCGTGGGGCAGGGCTCCTACAGCGGCGCTGGACATGCGGACAGGCTCAGCAAGGGGAGGAGTGCCTGCAGCGTCAGGGGAAGCAGCCTCTGTGCACCCCGGCACCGACGGAGCCATCGCGAACGCGCGGCACCTCCCGTGCTGCTCCTGCGGAGAAGGGCAAGACGCCAGCTGGCCAGGGCAGCACCTCACCCCCCGGCACCGGGCATTCCCGGTGCCCGCTCCCCCAGGACGCGGGGCCGTGCCGAGCTCCGGGCACTCCGGGGACCCGTCTGTCCGCTGTGGGAGCCACACCACTCTGCACCCGTAGCGGTTTCACGCTCATCGCTCCCTCCTGGACTCCCGGTGCTGTCCAGGAGCGCCCCAGCCACGAGCTCCCCTGCGCCACAGGCTGCCGGGCGCCTGAGCCAAGCGCTGCCCTCGAGCGGGACCTGCGTCCTTCCCCCTGCTCCCAAACCAAGCCTTCTCCCAGGGCCATGCGTGGGTGCCTTGGGACGCTCGTCCCCCCCGGCATGCACTTCTGGGGGCCGGAGGAGGCAGGGAGCGCCGGCATGCTGGGGTGCAGTACTGTACCTCTCTGCTGTTCCTCTGCAGTACAAGGAGAGGAGCCAGAGGAAAGACAAGAAGAAGCAGAATTAAAGCCGAGGATCGAGACGGAGAGGAGCCGTGGCCAGAGGAGCTCTGGTCACCCGTGGCTCTGTCCTGTGCCGACCCCCGTCCCGACTCGGGGAGCAGCGACCGCCCCAGCAGCCCCGCCGGCGCAGTGGGATCCCACGTGCCGCTGCTGCAGGATCCGGCCGGGAGCCGGCGAGCCCCGACCACGTGCGCGGCTGTGAGCAACGCAAGCAGGACACGCAGGCCCGCAGCACGGCTCCTCCAGGGCCGGCCCGCAGCAGCCGCCTCTTGCTGGGGGTCTGAAGGCACGGTGGCCCGTGCTGACCTGCTCCAAGATGCTCCTTCCGAGCCTCCCCGTGCAGGGGCGGAGGAGCAGCTCCCGCAGACTGCCCTGCTGCACGCTACACCCCCGACAGCTGGGCTCCCCTCAGCCTGCACTCCCTGCTCTGAAAGGCAGCGCCCGTGAGCAGGCTGGAGCTGGCACGGTGCTCACGGCGCTGCATACGCTGTTCGGCACCGAGAACACACTGTCAGCATCCCTGAGAGCCAGAGGTCGTGGCCACGGTGACTCGGGGAGAGGCTGCAGCTCCAGGAGGGCCAGAAGCCACTGCATCCCGGAGCCACACCGTGTCCAGGTGTTACCCAACCCCAATCAGGCCAAAAGGATCAGGAACCTGGACCCACCGGATCAGTGCTGCGCTGGGGCCAGAGGGCCGGGCTGCTCCACAGCCGCCCTGGTCACAGGCCCAAGGGGCACCTGAGCCCTCGGTCCAGGATGCCACGCGCTGCCCTACAGCCCGAGCTCCGGACAAAGACACCAGCGCACTCCCATCACCCCGCACCCCTGCGTTGCCACCGTACCCGCCATCAGGCACTTCTTGTAGGACACGTCCTCCAGAGTGACCAGGAAGGTGCTAACACCCCTGCTAGCCAGCATGAGGACCTGCAACCCCAGCAAGCACCCACCCCTTGCTGCTGGGCTTCAGGAGAGCCCAGGAGGCATGGAGAAATCAGATCTCTCTCCGAGCCAGCCAGATCAGAGCAGCAGAGCCCTGGAGAGGCACGGCAGCGGAGGCAGGCACTGCCCGCAGCAGCGAGGACACGGCGGCGGGCAGGCAGGGGCTGCTGCGTCTGCGCGGGAGCATCCCGGCGGGAGGACGGGCCCACGGGCTGGGCCGGGCAGTACCGGCGCCGGCGTGCCCACGCAGCCGGAGCGGGCTGCCCCACCACCAAGGGCCCCCCAGCCCCAGCTAGCGGCAGGGAGGCCCCAGGGTGTCTCCTCAGGGGTGCCACCGCCGCCCTGCCCGCCCGAGCACGGAGCTGCTGGACACCGCTGGGGAGCTGCAGGCTCTTCGCACGCCCCAGTCGTCACTGCAGCCCGAATGCCTCCTGTCCTCTCCCCTGCCAGCCACACCAGGCGCTCTGGCTCGCTGCGGGAGGGCCGGGCAGGCAGAGCAGCGCGACGTCGGAGCACCATTCCCCAGCGCCGCTCGCTCCCGACGGCAGCCTGAGCTCCTGCACTGCCTCCCGGCACACTGCAGGGCATTCCCCTGCGCGGCTCCCGGACTCTGTGTCGGGAAGACGTCCCAGGCTCCCTTTCCAGCCTGCAAATACCCTACACCAGCTGCAGAAGCGTTCGAGTGCTCTGGGGACGCTGGGTACGCACCTCCGGCAATGCCAGAGACGATGGAGGCAACTCCAGAGGCAGGGGCGCCGCGCAGGCCCTCGATGGTTCGCTTTGACTGGTTGTTCAAGCGCTGCTTCAGCTCCACCTTCTCTGACTCCAGCTGGTCGATATCTGCCTGAAGAGCATCCATGGTCTCCTCAAACTCCCTGGGAAGAGCACACGGAGTCACGGGTGCAGCCGGAGACGCTCCTCCGAAGGAAAGAGGCAAGCAGTCCAGGACCCGAGCGCTCCTGGCTTTGTCGAGCCTCCTGCTGCTGCTGTGCTTCGAGCACAAACCTGCTGATCCAGGAGCGGGAGCCCCACCAGCCCCCACGGCAGGCTGCAGCTCAGCACACGAAGGAAGCATTTACCCGCACTGAACCCAACATCTCCCAGCTTTCACACTGCGAGACGCTCCTCCCTCCAGCCTGCGGGCTGCACCTCCCTGCTGGCCCACAGGCTCGCTCTGCCAACAGACCACGTGCGGCAAGAGACGCTTGGAGCACAGCAACGGTAGCGAGAACAGGCCGGGACGACGGCCCATTCCACAAGAGCATTTGAACAGGACCTTTCCCAGGACCCCGCTGCCAGCCCGCGCTCTGCTGTGCGCCGCTACAACGTGCTGGTTCCCCTGCGGCTCCTCCGCAAACCCTCCCAGCCAGCCCGCGGGGCCGCCGGCTGCCCAGTCCTCAGCAGAGACCCTCCGCAGCGGCCCCGTCTCACACTTACTTCTCCTTCTTTTTGAGCAGCGTCTGGGTCTCATCCAGCTTCGTCTGTATCTTTTCCACACGGTCATCTGCATCCTTAGACGCGCTGTCCAGCTTCTTCTCCAGGAGGCTGAGCCGCACATTTGCTTCGCTGAGCTCCTCGCCCTGGAGAGGCAGGACAGAAATCAGAGCGCTCCAGGGCCCCGGGGACGGCGGGCACTACGAAAAGCTCCTCGCGGTGCCTGCGAGGCGGGAGCCTGCCCAGAAATCACGACCCCTACCCGCACCGCGCCTATGCTTGGTACCCAGACCCACGCACCCGTCACCCGCACTCGCCGCCCCAGAAGACGGCGGGGAGGGCCAGGACGTGCGGCAGGGAGGCACCAGGCAGACAGCACCTCCCCGACAACTGGAACGGGATTTCCAGGCGATCTACCTGGGCCTTGGGACAGTCCCGCAGGCAACAAGGCACCTGGAGCACCAACGTGACCACGACGGCAGCGCTTCAGCTCTTCACTGACCCGCCAGGAAGGCAGAGCTCGGCGGAGGAGCAGCTTACCTTGATCTTGAGGGATTTTTTCAGCTCTTTGATGACTGTCTCCCTGTCCTCCAGCTTGAGCCCCAGCCCCTCAGCATCGGTGATCTCTGCCCGAAGAGCCGCTGCCCGTAGGTCAGCAGGTGGGGTCGGCTGCAACGGAGACCAAACACAAAATGGGTATTTTACAAAGAATTCCGGTGATTGCAGATGGGGCCGCACGGCAAGAGGGAGACCGCTCCCAGCCTCCCTGAACCCTGCAGGCAAGTGCTGCACCTCCCCAGCCCTCTGCCCCGCATCACACCCCGACGACTCCTGCCAGGGGAGGCAGCAGCAGGACTGGGGAGGCTACAGAGCAGCTCAGATGCTCCAGCTCTGCCCGAGGCCCCCGCCGCAGCCCAAGCCCACCTTGGTCTGTGGCCTATCCGCGTCGTATTCTCCCTCCTGCATAGCCGTGGCCATCTTGTTCATGGTGGCGATGAGGATGCTGCAAGACTGACGCAGACACTCGTAGGGGTTGATGCCCTGGGTGCCGTAGATCTGCAAAGGACAGGAAGAAAGTGGCAGGTGCCCCCGGGCTGGGCTCACGGCCACCGTTACAGCCCCTTCCCGACCCCCCACAACGCTCCCCAGGCCCCGAGAGGCCGCCGTCCCTTTGGTGCGGCTGCGGAGCAAGGCCGGCTGCGGGGAAGGACAGCGCAGAGCAGGGGACCACAAAGCCCTCTGCGTTTTGGCATTCCCTGGCCACTCCCCGCTCGTTGCAGGGCGGGTGGACTAGACGACCTTTAAAGGTCCCTTCCCACCCAAACCATTCTGTGGTTCTGTGGTATTCCCAGGAGGCCATTCCCAGCCTCCACAAGGCTCTCCCACCCAGAGCTGCTCACGGGCAGGTCTGTGGCGCCGGAGTGAGACAGGTCCCGGCTTTATCCCGCCGCAGCAGGGAACGAGGGGCAGTCGAGAAGGGGGTTTCCTACCTGCTCGCTCGCTTTGAAGGCCAGATCCTCCAGCTTCACCGCCAGCAGCCCCTCGTTCTCCGCCAGAGGAGCAATCATCTGCGCCCCAGCAGCGGCCACCTCCTGCAGCACGGCCACCACCCACGTCAGGTGCTTGCGGCAGTCCAGCAGCGTGTCCGACACCTGAAAGTTGGGCAGGAGCGGGATGGTTGGGAAAGGCAGAGGCAAGCAGGCTGCTTTCCAGCTCAGTCCCAGGCACTGGGGAAGCTCCTGGCTGCCCAACACTTGCCTCACCCCGGCCTGACAGCTAGTGAGACTTTAACTTGCTTCTGAAGCATCACTAGGAAGATGGGAAGCACCAGGAAAGACAGAAAGAAACTGAAGGCTGGAAAAAAGTAGGTGAGGAAGCCCACATCTCCATCCCAACTAGAAACACAAAGCCCAGAAACGCCACCTCCCACCTCAGCTTGCACCAGCTCACCTGCTGCCCGAAGCCCAGCGCCGCAGGGATACCCGGCGCGTCCGTCCCAGGCATGCGGCGCCTGATCTTCTTGCAGAACTGGCGAATGTCACTGCATGAGGTCTCCAGGTCCTTGAGGAGGATGGCAAGGTCGGACGCCTCCTGCCCAGCCTAGGGTGCGGAGAAAGGACCTCAGAAAAACTGCCAGAGGGACCACCGGCGAGGGGAAGCCAGCGCAACCCCGCAGAGCCACCCCGAGCACGTCCTACCTGGAGGAAGGATCGCAGCCGGCACACCTCCACCCCCATGCAGTCCAAGGCACTCTGGGTGAACTGCAGAGCACAAACACGGTACCGTCAGCTCGGGGCAAAGCAGAGACCCGGCAAGACGGCTGCACTAGGGCAAACCGGGGCTTTGGTCTTGGGCATTTTGGGAGGGACCCTCTGTACACCCCCCTGCCACGACTGCAGGGTTTACAGGAGCAGGAAAACAAGTTGCGGCATTCAGTTAATTTTTGTTTTACTCCATGGGGCACAGGACACTGGTACTTGCCCTAGAAGCTCAGGGCAGTACAACGCTCCCTCTCAGACATTAGGTTCTCTGCGCTCTCCTTGCTGCTCTTCTCTTCCCACCCAGACATCTGCAGGGCAAAGGGCCCCACGTCTTCTTCCCCCTTCCCTGACCTGGGAGCCCTCATCGCCCCTGTGCCGCCACAGGCAGCGGGAGCTGGGGAAAAGTAGCTGCAGCGGGGAGAAGAGGCGCTTCGGCTCACAAAATGATCTCGGGGGAGCAGAAAGAGCAAAGGCAGAACACACGCAGCAAGGAAAGAGCCAGGCTATTTTTCCCCACTTCACCTTGATGTGGTCGGCCAGCTGCATCGTGCAGTCTTCAGCCTGGTCAGCCAGGTGGATGCTGTACAGGTGCTAGGTGGAGAGAGACCGGCAGAGATCAGCACCCCGCAAATGGTTCCACACACGCGAGCAAACAAACCAAACGAGGAAATACGTAACAAAAAACCCCAAACGTTGAGGGTTTGGCCTAATTTTTAATCAGAAGTGAAAACTCTTGCAGTGACCCCCACCAGATCCCCGCCCGGCAGGTCAGAAACGCCCCGAGCCTGGCCAGGAGCCCGTCGCCCCCGGCTCCGCAGACCCACCTGATAGTACTTGATGGCTTTGGTCAGCGGCTCCACGTTGACCGTCTCGTCCAGCTGGTCCTTGTGCAGCAGCTCGATCAGGAAGTCCAGCGAGCGCTCGTGGACGCTCATCTCGGGGTACAGCATCCCCACCTTCTTGTACACCTCCACGCTGCATTTGTTCAGGGCCCTGGTAAGAGAACGCAGACACAGGCGGCTTGGCTGGGACAGGCACGTGCTCCAGACAGCATCGGGACAGGGCTTTGCTTCTGGGTGCCAAATCTCCGACCACTGGAACCCCCTGGGACCACCAGCGGGACGCCCAGGAGCACCGTAGCTAGAGAGCGGTTAACGAAGGTCAAAACATCTGTAGAAAACCAGAGCGTGAAACAGGCTGCCTGGGAGCTACAGGAAAGGGAGCCTCAGGACAGAAACACACTCAGTTCTCCAGGCCAGAACCAGGGCTGGAGACGGGAGAAGACTCGCCAGCTAGCACCAGCAACGCGCCAGGCGCTCTGAGTTCATCGGCCACCTGGTGCAGCAGCAAAGGGATCCTTCAGTGCCCTGTTTCAAACTGAGCCACTTTCCTGGGAGCAAAGCTGAGCAAGACTCAAGGCGAGCACCCTGCCAGGCCACAGCCGTTTTGGTGCCCAACGGCATTTCCCAGGCTCCGAGGAAAAGCCAGGCTCCACGGCGCTGTCGGGGCACTGCCCAGCGACAGGCGCACGCCGATCAAGCGCTTGGGCTGACGCTCCACGAACCTTCCGCGCCGGACTGAGCCCCGGGCGCTGGTGGAAGAGGGCACGGGGCCGCAGGGGAGAGCCTGCTCTTGGGGTCGGAAGCCCAGAGCCAACCCCAGATGCAATCAAGCTCAGCAAGAGACTGTGATGCATCTCCTGGCAGGACAGATGGAAAAAATCAGTGCAGCAAGGCTACTTCTGGCCTGGAGACAGGGTTACAGCTGAAGAATGAGAATTGGATCCCTTCACATGTCAATTCTTGGGAGGAAAACAAGGCAGGCATTACACGAGAAGTGAATACCCCCATCACAAGGCAATAAATGGGATCCCTCAGCTTTCTGCCAGCCCAGCTGCCAAAATATCCTTAACTCCAGAGGGACCAGGCCCCGCTGCGAGGCTGCGGAGGTCCTCTGCGCTTCCAGAGGATGAAGCGGCTGGGGCTCAAGGGTGAGAGAGGGGCTGGGTACTCACTGTTCGTATTTGTGCAGCGTAGCCTGCAGGAGGCTCAGGGAATAGACCAGCCCGGCGGCAAAGCTCAGCTGCTCTCCCGCCGCGCCCCGGAGGCCGGCGCGCTCCGCACAGTTTTCGTTCAGATCAAACTTCTCCTGAGCCTGTTTGCTGATCAGCTCGGCCTGGTGGGGCAGAGGGCAAACCTTCAGAGTCTTCCTACGCTTGCTCTGATCCGTTCCGCTTAGCCACAGACCAGCCGAACACCCCCTCACCCCCGCCCCCAAAAAGCAAGCTCTCCTGGGAAAGATTTCTGCAGAACAGAAGGGGAATAGGAGGGACGGCAGAGCGCCAGCCCCCCGCTCCGTGCCGCAAGACGCCGAGGGCTTGGCCCACCAGTGCCACAGCCGAGTGCTCCAACCGCCTGCGGGCAGGGACTCCCGCTCCCAGACAATTTTGAAAGTTTTCCAACAAGCAAACATTCAAAATCCCAAATTCAGCCGGGACAGAAAGAAAAGAAGCGTTTCCCACAGAGCCGCGGCACAGCCACCGACTCCTGGCTGGCCCAGACGGCACAGTGGGTACGAAGGCGACGCTCCAAGCCCCGACAGCCCAGCTCAGGAGACAGCCCCAGCTCAAAGCTTCAACGGAAGAACTGACACAAGCTCTTGACGAGGCCTAACTCCCCCAGGCAGGCGGGAGCCGAGGCACCCATCCCACCTTGCAGATGAGCCGAGGGATGAGCAGCAGCACCAGGACGCAGTCGTGGTCCCCTCCGTGGCGCAGGAAGCTGTCGGGCATGAAGGAGGTGAGGAGGGAGACGTGCCGGTTGGCCTGCTGCACCTCCATCTGCCGCAGCTCCATCTCGATGGCCTGCAGGAGACACGCGGTCAAGGCAGCCCGCTCGGTCCCCTCCCCAGCCCAGTGCATCCCAGCCCGTTCAGTATTTTCAAAGTCAGAACCTGTTTCCTCCTGGGGCACAGCCAGCACCCCGCTCCCTGGCTGCCACAGGAGACGTTTCTCACTAGGACCAACCAGTGCCCTGCGGAGGTGCCCGGGACCGGTCCGGAGCTCTGGTCTAACCCCGGTACAGGGGACACCGCGTGTCTGTGCTCACAAGCACTCTTTCTTTCCAGCCAGCGCTCACAGTGTGATAAAATCAATGCTTACATTGTCAGCTCTGAGCACGCTCTTTCACAACAAAACATCCCTTTTTGCACAGTGGCGTTTGAACTTTGATGTTTCTCTTCGGAGAAACGTCCCGGCAGTCGCCTCAGCCCGCTTCCACGGCTGGCACAAGCGCCGCAGCCCCGCTCCGAGAGCCGCGGCCCAGGGTCAGCCCCAGCGCGCGGGGACACCCGCCCCAAGCCTGGCACCCGCACGCCGGTGCCCTGCCTCGGCGCCGCTGCTTCAGGAGCCCCGCGCACGGGAACGAAGGCGCCCCGTTCAGCTCGCACGCCTGGTGCGCAGCCCTCCTGCCGCCCCTACCTTAGCATGGGCTTTTGTCTCGGCAAATTTAATCTTGAAGTCAAACATCTCGGGGGGAGGCTGCTGCTGTTTCTCGGCAGATGCTTCTTGCTGACTCATGAGTTCTCGGTTCACGTCCTGAGCACAGAAAGAAGCTGCGATGAGACACAGAAAGCCAGCGGGGGGTGTAAGCCCACGGCCGCCGCAGTACCCCACACCTAACCTCCCTGTGCCCCCGTCCTCGGGCAGGGCGGGGGAGCACCGGGGGCTCATCGGGCAACACGCACAGCGATGGGCGACCGCAAGGAAGAGGAATGCGAGTGCTTTCCAAACGCTCGGCTGACAGCACACTGTATGGAAGCCAAGGAATCTGCACAGACTCGTTACCCATCGCCTTTCACTGCCAGCAAAGCCCAGGAGAACCAAGCCCAGTGCTGGAACAACCCCACACTCCTCCGTCTTTTCCAGGAGTCTGTTCCCGAGCCCGGAGGACAAGCAGCACAGCACGGTAAATGGCTGAAACAGCCATGTGTTCAGAAATATTTACAGTGCTGACTTCAGCAGGGGCTCTGCCAGCGAGTCCCAGCCGGACGCAGGCAGAAGGACAGGCAGGGCTGTGGGAGGGCACGAGCAGCACGTGCAGCCTGGCACGGCCGGAGGTCCCCAGGAAAGCTCCGTCAGGAACCCGCTCTCCAGGCATCAGCCATCCGTGTTCTGCCGTGCCCATCTCCCAGGGGAGCAGGAGGCAGCGCGCCGTCCCTGCCCACCTCTTGCCTACACGTGCTCGGTCCCTCAGCACCGGGGCGGGCGCCCAGAGGAGCAGGGCTCCAGCGGGAACCGCCCCGCTCTGCGTGGGGGGCACCCAAGGGCCGCACCTGAAGGTGTGCAGTCAGCTCTCTGTATTTTTTGATGGTTTGCTGGTAGTCGGCCACGGTCTCCTGCGCAGCCTCCACGCGCTTCTCTGCCTCGCGGACCCGCGCCGTCGCCATATCCAGCTGCTCCCGTAACTCCAGCTCTGTCTCCCGGGCATTTTCCTGCAGCTCGTCGTTCATCTCGTTCATGGCTTCCTGGCAAGGAGGGGACAGCACGGGACGCGGTTACGCCACAGCCGGGCAAGCGAGGGCCGCTGGGCATTTTCGGAGCAGGGCAGAGCGGCACCCCGGGGTGTAAGGGGCGTATTTTGCAGAGCAGGAGGGTGCGCCGCTCGGAAGCGGCACCGAGTGCAATGCCTGCAGAGAGGTTCCCCAGTCCCCTCTGGCACCGCTGCCGGGCAGTTCCCAGTGCCTCGGGCAGCCTCGCTGCCCGGCAGTCGGCTGGACCAGCCCTCGCCCCAGCCCAGCCGCACACCAGGCACGAAGGAAGCAGCCAAGCCCTCCAGCACCAGCCCTTACTCCAGAGGAGTCCGTCTTACCAGGTCCCCAACCGTCTCACGCAGCTCCCGGACCTTCTCCTCCAGGTCTAAGTTTCTCTCCGTCAGGGTCTCCACCATCTCTTCAGCACCCAAAGCAGCATCCACCTGCGAGCACACACCACATCACATCACGCTCCAACCTGGAACTCAACGCAGTTGCAGCAAGCAGCTCAAAAATCCTTTTATACCCCCGTGGGATCGCTCTGCCAAGCTGTGGGACACGGCTGATAAATCTGTCTCCCCATCCTGGGGTGAGGTTTGCCAGACAGTGCATGAGCTCCCTCCTGACAGCAGGGAACAGCATCCCCCAGGGGAGCAAACAGCTCAAACCAGAACAGCCAGCAGCCCCAGAAGGAAAGGCACGTGAAGAGAGGCTTGGCTTTGGCTCTTAGAGATGTTACTGGCTCTTTAGCTGCAGCATCAGGGCACAAGGCGGAACAGTTTCAGGTCAGTGCAAATGATGCTGACCTTCAGGTTGGGTCTTTGCAGACCTGTGACAGTGCTTTCTCTGCCCCCCCGAGGGCCGAGGCGCATGGTTATACCCTCACAGGATTAATGGAGGAACGGGCGTTTCAATCTCTCTGCATTAAGAAGCAACATCTCTGCTAACAGCCCGCCTTCTACGTGACTCGGGCTAATGCCCAGAGAGCGCGAGGCCAGCGTCCCTCCAGAACAGCGGTTCGGAGGAATTGCACGGGCTGCTCTGCAGCGCACGTAGATCCTTCCTGGGAGCTTCCTACGGGCTGCCCCGCACCTGCACTGGCGTCTCAGCCGGGCCAGGACCAAGCCACAGGGAAGACGTGCTGGCTCAGCACCGAGCAAGCAGCAAACACAGGCCAGCCCTGGAAAGCACGACGTACCATCCATGTCCGACGTTCAAGAGCCACCCTATGGCCAAGCAGAGTCCTGCACAGCTCCACTGCTGGAACAGGGTTTGCTTTTGCACAGGGACCCAGGAGCACCGGCCCCTGCAGCGGTACCACCGAGCGCGGCTCTGAAAGCGACTGGCAGAAAGCGCCCTGTGCCAGGAGGCGACCCAAGCTCGCCGACAGCGGCTGCCCAACGCCCCAGACCTGCCCCCCGCCTGTCCTTCCCCCCGCGGGCTCACCTGCTCCTTCAGCTCATCAACCGTCTTCTCCGCCTGCTTCACCTCCTCCTGAAGCTTCTCCCTCTGCTGACGCAGGGACTCCAGCTCCGTGTTTTTCTTCTCCATTTGCTTCTGAAGCTTCACGTGCTCCTGCTTCTCTGATGCAGACAAGTCCCGCATCCTTTGACAGAGCAAGCAGAGCCATCACAAGCCCAGCAGAGACCCAGGTACCAGAGCAAGAGAAGCCATTCTCTTCCCAGACACCGCTCGTGGTGGGCACCGGCAGAGTCGAGGCCCCCTGCCCACGCTGGCTGCCCATCGGCGGCGCCGGCAGAGCCCCCCTGGAGCCACCAGCAGCCTCTCCCTCCGAGAACAGCTCGTTAACAGCGAGGGGGGGTGATCGGTGCCCGAGACGGCGCCTTCCTTTGAGAGAATCACAGCGACAGGGGATGGGGAGAATTGAAGAGGAGAATGTAGAAAAACAGACAACAGAGACAGCTGGGAAGAATAGCTGTGAATGGGACAGGGTAACACACGGAAAGGAAGAATCCAGTGAGCAAAGAAAAATAAGTCACATTCGCAGCCTTTCACAGCCTAAGAGAGGCCAGCAGCAGAAAAAAGACAAAGCGCAGACAAGGGAAGGCGCTTCGTCGCGCACCGAGAACAGGGCTGTGCTTATGTGCCTACTGAGGCCCCTGCGTGCGCAGCTCTGCTGGCAGCCCCGAGGCGGCTCTGCCAGGGAGGGCAAGCGCCGGGAGCGCCTCTCCCTTGGACCTTCTTTACGCCTCCCACCCCAGACAGGCACCGCTTTGGGAGTCCTTGCAAGGCAGCTTCTTGTGCTCCCCATCAGCAGGGGATGCGTCCACCTCCTCTACCCGTCCCTGGCCTACGGGAATAACTGTCTTCAAGCACGGGCTGTTGCCTGCACCGAAGGCAAGGCAGCAGCCTGCGCACACCGCGCCACGGCCCCGCGGGAGGAGCGAGGGACAGCGCGCGGTGGTGTGGGCACCGCAGGAGCCCCACCTGAACCTCTCAGCTAAAGCGCAGGAGGCTTCCAGGAAGAAAAGGCCCAAAGCCCTGGCAGATGGGCTTGCCCAGGGACAGGCAGCGACCAGGTCCCAGGGCTGAGCGGGCTCAAGAAACCTCGAGCAGGACCTGCGCGGGAGGCGCCTGGAGAGCTGTCCTGTACAGGCTGCTTGAATAAACCTGCAGCTGTGCTGGAGAAGCAGAGCACTGCGTACACAGAGAAACGAAACACAGGAGCCTCCTGAAGCGGCTCATTTTGTCCCCATCTACAGTGAGAAGAGATCCTCCCTTCTCTGTTGCACGCTTCAAGGAGCACCAGAGCTCAGGAACAAGCCCAGACCAGCCGCAGGCGTTACATCGGCTGCTCTGCAAAAGGAGCACTCGGACCAGTGCTCTGACACAAACTCTTATTAGACCAAGGCAGCACGGGCTCTCGTAGGAAGGAACTTCGTCGGCAGCCTTTGGGGAGCGCAAGTGGTCGCCTACCTTACAAGAGCTTCCTTGAGTCTCGCGTTTTGCTCTTCCAGCTGTTTGACTTGGTAACTGGATGCTGCTCCATCCGAGCCTGCAGCAGAAAGGGAGCATTATTCTGCTTGTGCAGAAAGAGCAGCTGCTGAACAGACCCAGTTCTCTGACGCTCAGGGGCACTACAAACACCGGTGAGAGGGCAGCTGAGCCATACCAAGGGGAAAGGCATCAGCTCCTCTCCTGCAGCTGAGCAAAACCGAAGCCTCGTGCTTCACATCAGCGCTCGTAGGCTGAGATTCCCCCGATGCCACCAAAGCCAGTCAGCGCCGGTGAAGAGCCACCGTAGACCGTACCCGAGCAGCCGCTGGGCTACGGCAGTGACGCACCGCTGGACAGCACGGGTGCTCTTGGCTCTCAACCCTCCCGGCCCTCACAACTCAGTGAAAGCCAACTCAAATCAAAGACCTTCCTCATCTCAGTCATTTCCACATCTCCCTGCAGACTGCTCCTGTCCTCCCGACGTTTTTCCCAGTCCCTCGACATATCCACCTTTCCGTCCCATCCCTCCGCCTGCCTGCCGGGTTGTCCTGGTTCCAGCCGGGACTGAGTTCATTTTCTCCCTAGTAGCTGGCACAGTGCTGTGGGCTGGATGTAGGATGAGAAGAACGTGGTAACACACCGACATTTCGGCTGTGGCTGAGCAGTGCTTGCACTCAGTCAGGGCCTTTCCAGCTTCCCCTGCTCTCCCCGGTGCACAAGGAGCTGGAGGGGGCACAGCCAGGGGCGCTGACCCCGACTGGCCCAAGGGCTGTTCCATACCCCATGGCGTCATGCCCAGTACAGGAACTGGGGGAGCTGGCCGGGGGGCGGCGATCGCTGCTCGGGGACGGGCTGGGCATCGGTCGGTGGGTGGTGAGCAGTTGCATTGTGCATTACTTGTTTTGTACATTCTTTTATTATTATTATTACTGTTGTCGTTGTCATTATTATTATTTTCTCTGCTGCTGCTGTCCTATTAAACTGTCCGTATCTCAGCCCACGGGTTTTACTCTTCCCCCCTCCGTTCTCTCCCCATCCCACCGGGGGTGGGGAGGGCGAGCGAGCGGCTGGGCGGTGCTTGGCTGCCGACTGCGGTTAAACCACGACACTGATCATCTGCTGCTTCTACAGGTCTCATTTTTTTCAGGTGAATTCCAATACTACAAGTGTTTAATGGCTAGCTCCTTTCCTGCTGTGTGTAATTTTTAAAGCTCACCTTGAATGCCAAGAGCTAAAAGGCCCCAGGGGAATCAAAGCAAGGTTTTTGCGCTGGTTTGGAAGCTGTGCTCAGCGCGAAGCTGGGAGGGTGGATCAGTAAGCAACAAAGCAGGCGTGTTTCTCCCACATAAAGCCTGTCCCAGTCAAACACCTCTTGGGGCGGGATCCACCGACCCAGGGACCACGATGGGCATTAAAACTGAGCCTGAGCTCCTCTAAGCCCGGGACAGGAACACTTGTCCCAGGCTCAAAAGCGCAGCAGCTCCATCTCTGCCTTCTCAGCGAGGCCGGGACCCAAGCGCAGATGAAGCTGAGCTGCTGCCCGCTGCTGAGCTGCTGCCTGCTACTGCCCGTGCTGAGCTGCTGCCTGCTGCTGCCTATGCTGAGCTGCTGCCTGCTGCTGAGCCGCTGCCCGCTGCTGCCCGTGCTGAGCTGCTGCCGGCTGCTGAGCTGCTGCCTGCTGCTGCCTATGCTGAGCTGCTGCCTGCTGCTGAGCCGCTGCCCGCTGCTGCCCGTGCTGAGCTGCTGCCGGCTGCTGAGCTGCTGCCTGCTGCTGCCTATGCTGAGCTGCTGCCTGCTGCTGAGCCGCTGCCCGCTGCTGCCCGTGCTGAGCTGCTGCCGGCTGCTGAGCTGCTGCCTGCTGCTGCCTATGCTGAGCTGCTGCCTGCTGCTGAGCCGCTGCCCGCTGCTGCCCGTGCTGAGCTGCTGCCGGCTGCTGAGCTGCTGCCTGCTGCTGCCTATGCTGAGCTGCTGCCTGCTGCTGAGCCGCTGCCCGCTGCTGCCCGTGCTGAGCTGCTGCCGGCTGCTGAGCTGCTGCCTGCTGCTGCCTATGCTGAGCTGCTGCCTGCTGCTGAGCCGCTGCCCGCTGCTGCCCGTGCTGAGCTGCTGCCGGCTGCTGAGCTGCTGCCTGCTGCTGCCTATGCTGAGCTGCTGCCTGCTGCTGAGCCGCTGCCCGCTGCTGCCCGTGCTGAGCTGCTGCCGGCTGCTGAGCTGCTGCCTGCTGCTGCCTATGCTGAGCTGCTGCCTGCTGCTGAGCCGCTGCCCGCTGCTGCCCGTGCTGAGCTGCTGCCGGCTGCTGAGCTGCTGCCTGCTGCTGCCTATGCTGAGCTGCTGCCTGCTGCTGAGCCGCTGCCCGCTGCTGCCCGTGCTGAGCTGCTGCCGGCTGCTGAGCTGCTGCCTGCTGCTGCCTATGCTGAGCTGCTGCCTGCTGCTGAGCCGCTGCCCGCTGCTGCCCGTGCTGAGCTGCTGCCGGCTGCTGAGCTGCTGCCTGCTGCTGCCTATGCTGAGCTGCTGCCTGCTGCTGAGCCGCTGCCCGCTGCTGCCCGTGCTGAGCTGCTGCCGGCTGCTGAGCTGCTGCCTGCTGCTGCCTATGCTGAGCTGCTGCCTGCTGCTGAGCCGCTGCCCGCTGCTGCCCGTGCTGAGCTGCTGCCGGCTGCTGAGCTGCTGCCTGCTGCTGCCTATGCTGAGCTGCTGCCTGCTGCTGAGCCGCTGCCCGCTGCTGCCCGTGCTGAGCTGCTGCCGGCTGCTGAGCTGCTGCCTGCTGCTGCCTATGCTGAGCTGCTGCCTGCTGCTGAGCCGCTGCCCGCTGCTGCCCGTGCTGAGCTGCTGCCGGCTGCTGAGCTGCTGCCTGCTGCTGCCTATGCTGAGCTGCTGCCTGCTGCTGAGCCGCTGCCCGCTGCTGCCCGTGCTGAGCTGCTGCCGGCTGCTGAGCTGCTGCCTGCTGCTGCCTATGCTGAGCTGCTGCCTGCTGCTGAGCCGCTGCCCGCTGCTGCCCGTGCTGAGCTGCTGCCGGCTGCTGAGCTGCTGCCTGCTGCTGCCTATGCTGAGCTGCTGCCTGCTGCTGAGCCGCTGCCCGCTGCTGCCCGTGCTGAGCTGCTGCCGGCTGCTGAGCTGCTGCCTGCTGCTGCCCGTGCTGAGCTGCTGCCCACTGCTGAGCTGCTGCCCACTGCTGCCCACTGCTGAGCTGCTGCTGAGCTGCCCACGTGCGACGGTCGGACCTGTGCCTGCCGAGCGGGGCTGGGGACGCAGCAGAAAGCCCCAGCGGGTGCTGGGGGAACTCACGGAGGCAAAGCCTTCGCCCCACCGCAGCTGGCAGCGAGGAGCCACCCCTGCTCCGAAGCAGTCAAGCGTTCTGCTCCCCAGCGAGGAGCCCCCCTGTGCAGTGAGACCCAGGCTGAGACCACCCGAAAGCTGCGCCCTTCCCACCTTTCTCTTCAATTTCGTGCTTCAGGATCTCCAGGTCCATGGTGAGATATTCCACCTTCTCTTTCAGGGAGTCCACCTCCTGCTGCAGGGACTCTGCTCGCTCTTCTGCCATCTCCTTGTCCAGGGTTGCCATTTCAATGGCATCAGCGGTGTCTGCCATCTCCTCCATGTATCGCTCCTTGGCTTCCAGGGCATCTTTGGCTTCCTGCAGTCAAGCACACACGGGTGAGAAGACCCTGGAAGCCCAAGGCCAGCGATGGAGACCCCTCTCCCGAACGATGCGCCTGGGACAATTGCGTCTCTCACGGCTCTCGCAGGAGGATCAGGTCCAATTAAGAGCAGCTTATCCGGGCTGAGGGGGGAGGCCCGCTGGGTGCCCATCTCCACTCCCCTTCGCCCCTTCTCCCATCCACAACAGAGCCCAGCAGAAAAACGATCTGCAGGCAAGGAGAGACAGGTATGAAGACAGAAAAGACGTAGCTGGCACTGGAGCAGACGATCAAATAAATCACTGGGGGAACAAACCAATAATCCACCCAGGAAAACCAGGGCAGCGGGAGGCAAAAGCTCCTCCGGCAGCACGGCCGGAGCCCTGCCGTCTGCTGGGAGCAGCAGGCACGGGTGCCCGGAGC